CCTGCTGTAGCAGGTATCGCACCTGCTGGTGGGTGCAGCTCCCGCATGTTCCTTCGTTGGAGGCTTGGGCACGGATGTGGCTGCTATAGGGGTTCCCCGTATTACTATAAGAAAAAAAAAAAAAAAAAAAAACGGATCTGCATCATATGAGACATGGCTGAAAAGCCATAGGGAGTGATGTGACCGTTGGCTTAGGCCAATGGAGAAAGAAAAAAAAAAAAAGGGAGGGAATCAAAACGCCATATGGCGTAAATGGAAGTGACTGGGCCACTTAAGTCCCCAGTGTACTTGAAGGTGCCCGTTCTGAACGGGAGACCGTTTGCAGGTAGGTCTTTTTTTTTCCTTTTTATTTATTTATTTATTTATTTATTTTTTAGACTCCTTAGATTTTCTTTCAGATTGTTTTTTTTTTCCCCTCTTTTCCTTAGCCCCCCCCCTAACGTCGTGGCAGTGGACAGCTGCGCCCGTTCGTATTCAGAAACAGGCAGCAGTTGTCCAACATTGCCCGAACCAAGAGCTGATGGCGCCCAGGTGCGGGCGCGCAGAGAGGGAGAGAAATAGAGGGAGAGTGACCTTACCTGGCGGCCGTTGGTTCATGATAGCAGCAGCCAACAGGTAAGTCATGCAAGTCGAGCAGCCCCTTTGGCTCTGTGCCAGGCTGCAGAGCGTCGCCTGCACCTGGCGCCGTGGGCGTCCGGGTATGGGCGCGTTGGGCAAGAGAGGGAGACCCCTCTGAGCTTGACTCTAGTCCGACACTGTGAAATGGCTTGGTGAAAGGAGGCAGCTCGTTTTGAAAAACGAGCTGCCCCTTTCAAAAAGAAAAACAAAGAAGAAGAAAGGGGGAAAAAGTTGTGCACCTGGCTTTGGGTGCAGCACAGGTGCGCACCCTGTGGGATTGGACAGGCAGATGCCTGTTCGAAGTGAACAGGCTCCTGCACATGGCTGGATTCAGCCAATTTAAGGCCGAATCCGGCGTGAATGACAGACTAGGTGCGGTACCTGAGCCAGGGAGTGGTTTTCTCCACCCAGAGATCAAGTTTCGGCCCTTGATCGCGATGCAGATCAAGGGCTGAGCTCAGATCCGAGTTTTGGCTGAGGCAAAGTGGCTGCCTCAACCACTTCTCTGGCTATAAAAACAGCCTCCAGCCCCAGCAGCCAAGCATTCTTGGCAGCAGTGTTGGGCTCTCACTTGTGAGATTGCTGGCTGGCTGCGGAGAAGTGAGGCGGAGCGGAGCTGCTGGCGGCGGAGGAGGAGGACTGCAGGAGGAAGGGGAAGGTGGCCATAGYTRTAKAATGCAGCCATAGCCGCCGTCACAGCGAGGAGGAAGGGAGGAGGTGCTGGAGGTCTGCAGGAAGGGTGAAAGGAGAAGGTGGAGGCTGCCATAGCCACCACCTTGGTGAATAGTGGAGCGCAGGGGAGGTGCTGTCCACGCAGTGCGGCCGCAACGACACTAAATGAAGGTGACGAGGGAGCACTGCCAACCCTTTTTGCGGTAATGTCAGCCATAGCTGGACCTGTGTGGGGAAGGTGCTGCCTGCACGGTGCGGCGGCGGCATACTATTTTTGTTGCGGTGTGGGGAAGGTGCTGCCTGCACAGTGTTGCGGCGACAAACTATTTTTGTTGCGATGCGGGGAAGGTGCTTCCCGTCGGGCATGGTGGCGGCATATATTTTTGGTAGCAAAGCAGAGAAGGTGCTGCCTGTTCAACGCGGTGTTGGCAACCATTTTTTATGAGGTACAAGGGTGATGCTGCGTCGCCTTGCGACGACGGCAACACGTTCAGATGGTAGCGTGAAAGCGCTGCTGAAATTTTGCGGCAACAACGCCGCGTTTGACGCCGGTAGTGCGGAAGCGCTGCTGAAAATTTGCAGCAGCAGCATTGGGTTTGACGACGGTGGTGCGGTAGCGCTGCCAATTTCTCATGGTAGAGCCGACAATATTTTTACACTGCCTATATAAGGCGCCGTCTGGGCATTAGCGCAGGGAAGGTACTGCGAAGTGGTGGTGCGCTTGAAAGTGGTGTGAGTGCGACGCCGTAGTGGCACAGTGAAATTGGGGGTGTGCACCGGTGACGCTGTCAGATCACTGGGAGATGATTGGGTGCTGAGAGGGTATCGCGTCAAGCGATCGCTCTAGAAAGTATTGTGGATCGTTTTGCGAGCGACTCATTGTGACGATTGTCTTCTCTGGAGTGTGATTTTACACGGTCTTCTCGAGTGGGCCGTTTTTTTTTAACTTCATTCAAGGTCAGTTATTTGACTCAGACCCCTTCACACCTGTGTGAACTCACACTTGCTTGGCCCTATTCTTTGAATGTTCACTGGATAGGTAGAGAAGATGTGTGTTTGTGTGTGTGAATGAAAGTCTGACATGAGTGTGAATTGCATTGTTTTCCTTTGAACTTGTTGTTTGATCTGATGTGCAGGTAGGTAGAAGAAAGCTTGAAAACGAGATTGGCCATGTCAATGAAAATGGGGACAGGGTGTTTGTCTTCTATCTCTTGTTTGCATGTTTGTCACAAGAGAGAAAATCAGTTGACGATGATAAAAGGAACGATCACAAAAAAAAAAAAAAAAAAACTTAATCGGACATGGACTCGTTCCAGATCTTACCCATTCTTACCCACCTTTGTCTATGCCCATCTGTCTGAATGCTTTTCTTCTCTATGACCCTTTCTTTGTCCAAGTTCGCCCTTGACGTTAGGCGATAAAGGGCTGATCGTTCGCTGTGGTAAGTGCATTTCCTTTCCCTAGGAGGCATTTGAGGCGGGGGTTCGTTGCCTTAGGGGCCGACCCTGTTAATGACTCGGAGTGGAACGCTTGGGCGGGGGGATACCATGGTGTCGTGGTGGAGCCAGCCCGACTTCTGAGATCCGGGGTTCGCCCGGGCGAGGACGAGGGGTATCCCAGACCACCTCCTAGGGGATGGAAGTGTGTTATTCACAGAAGGCGTTAAGTTTTTGACGGCTCACGTTAAGAAGAACCGCTATAGTTTACACTTCTAGTGGCCGTCTTAAGAGCCACAGATAAGTGAGGAGCTGGCGCCATAGGAAGCCCAGTTCGTGCGATCACTAGCTATGGACGGAGTGCGACTAGGCACTACCTTCGCGGATAGGGTTGCACTAAGAGAAGTGCAAGCCTTGGACGATCAGACTAGTTGACGGAAAAAATGTAACTAAAGCATTGCCTTGAATATCTTTATATCGCAGACTAGTAGTTCATCATCCGTGAGATAAAAAAAATAATCATTGCTCAGGAGGACGAAGCGACCGACAAAATTTGAAAATGGATCCTTGACCTTAATGAGGCAGTCACGTTCAAGTCGTTTACTGACTCGTATAGTGGTAGCCGGACTACTTGCAAATGACATTCACACCAAAGTTGGAAAGGTAGTGATGTCATCGCGAGAACAGTGTGATCCTAGCTCTACTTGAGGGTTGGGATGTCCGCATTTCCTTGCTTGCAGTCAGCATGCGGTGGAATGAAAGAACTCGGCAACGCATCTCATCGAGTCGAAAAAGTCGTGACAATCTAACCGTCTGACAAGTAGAGTGTAGATGCTTTAGTCGGATGTCATTTGAGCTTCGCATCGTGTATAAGTCATGCTTTGTCCTTTTGTTGATAAGTGAGGTCCGAAGGCGAGTCAACTCATGTGTCTCGTCGTTGGATGAAAGTCAAATCAACCCTTGTCAAATTGATCGGGGCGAGTGGTATGCATGACCGTATTATATATAAGTTGATCTCAGAATATATGTCAACTTACGTTGACCTGAGTCTTCTTTTGGTGTTTAACTTTTGATTGTCTTTGGAAGAAGGGACTATGATTGATTGAGGTTTTCTTACGCTTGGAATATTAYGTCCTAGTCGACCGACGTCGTTCCGATTCCTGGGAGATCARCGCCYCAGGGACGGGCGGCGTTCGGGTCCACTTGGCRTTTAACCATGTGTACCTATGCTACAGCGAACGAGCAAACGCCCTCGGCCGGCCTACCTCTGCAWTYGCATTATAAAAGCTTTCGCATGTGGGTCGGTAGCTCGGTAGGGATACGCCCCTAAGGGTGGTGACAGCCCCTTAGGGAAGGTAAGTTGTGCCCCGCGAGAACCTGTCCTGTCGTAGGGGACCGCGGGATGTACAGTTGGCGCACGGAGCGGCGAAGGGTCGACGCGGGTTACCGTGTCGTCCCTGAGTTGTCTCTAAAAAGTTGAAAGTCTAAGTTTCTCCTGCGTGACGCAGCCGGGAGGGCCTTCGCTCGCGCGGGGGCTGATGCGCTTGACACCGTCATGTTTGTTGAGAATGACCGTCTCTGTCCGACTTAGGAACGACCTACCCAGTAGGATAGGGTGGTCCAAATCAGGCATCACGAAAAAACAACTTCTTACTTTTACCTTCCCAATCTCTAGAATCACAGACGATGCGGTCCCTAAGAAAATCGACCGACTGTTTGCTCCCATCAGAACCCCGTTGTCGGAGCGATCTACCTCCATCCCTAGACGCACTGCATCTGCCTCCTTTATGAGGTTCATTTCTGCGNAGGGTGGTGACAGCCCCTTAGGGAAGGTAAGTTGTGCCCCGCGAGAACCTGTCCTGTCGTAGGGGACCGCGGGATGTACAGCTGGCGCACTCGGCCGGAGCGGCGAAGGGTCGACGCGGGTTACCGTGTCGTCCCCGAGTTGTCTCTAAAAAGTTGAAAGCCTAAGTTTCTCCTGCGTGACGCGGCTGGGAGGGCCCTTGCTTGCGCGGGGGCCGATGCGCTCGACAGGCGGCGCCGTTGTCGGGGATAACGACAAACTACTATTGTCTCTGGTGGAACGACACTCGGGAATGAAGCAAGTGAAAGATTGTGCCGTAGTGATTGTCTAAGAAAAAAGGTTAGTAATCTTTGAGCCTCTATAAATGTAAGGAAGGAACCTTAATAGATGCCACCAAAACTCCTAGATTGATTTCTTGGGTTTATGTTTCTAGATGGACGGTGCCGCAGGACATCGCGACAACGTCGACGATGGGAGGAACGACATTCAAGAATTGGCACGGGTCATCCGACAGTCGCAGTGAGAGCCCTACCCCAAGATTGATGTTCCATTGTTCGATGGGAATCATGCCTCTTCTTGGGCAGACAAGTTTGAGCAATTCGGGTATAGCAACGAATGGACGGATGAGAAGATGCTTCGCATGGTTAAGAGGTATTGTCAGGTGGAGTACCGAGATGAGATCGATGAGCTGGTGCGAATCTCCCGTAATTGGTCAAATTTTAAGGCGCGGTTGCTGGAGAAGTACCAACTTAGCGATCAGTTACTCGATCTGCGAGATTTGAGGGCGGTGAATCGTAAGAAGTTTGGTACTACCAAACAATTCTTATCGGAGTTTGAGCGAGTGGCTTGCCTAATCCCGGATTTATCCGATAAAGATCGCTGCCTCATCTTCCTTGATAACTTCAACGACGTCGAACAATCGAAGTTGGTTGAAGGGATGCAATGGAGGTATGACTGGACTAAGGTCCGACAAAATGGGCTGGTGGAAAAATTCGACGATATCCTCTACCGGCTGTTGAGGCAACAAAAGGAGGAACGGGAGGAGGTGAAGCTGAGAGAGGTAAAGGACGGTGAGATCTATAAAACTTTGATCTGCATGAGAGAAATGATGGAAGACATGAAAGAGGAAAGGCTGAAGTTTCAAGTCATGCTGGCCAAAGAGAAAAATAGTAAGAGGAAGGGGAAAGAGCCGATGGTAGAGGAAAGTGACAGTGAAAGCGAGGAGGAAAAGGAGTCGCCTCGTAAGTTGACAAAGGCGGAGAGGAAGGTCTTGAATCAAACTCGAGGTGGACAGGGGACCTCCCGTAAGCAGGGGAAGAATGGCAGACAAAATAATCAAGGAGGGAATGGCGGTGCTGGCGATGGTTCGTCTGGACAAAATTCGCAGGATCAAGGGCAGTTCCAACCACAGGGTGGAGGAGGCCGCGGTTGAGGCCGTGGGAACGGACAGCGAAGCCGTTGGGCGTGGCAGCAGGAAGCCACATGTAACTATTGCGCAGAAAAGGGTCATATTATGCGATTGTGCCAACTCCTGTCAAGAGATGAAAAGGAAGGAATTGTCTTCACCACGATACGCGGTGAAGTCTTTGATTACGAAGGGAATTCAATCGACCCCAACATTGAAGGGGGTATGAGGAAGGAGGCGTTTCGCCGAATGGGTCGTCCCCTGTCGGCGACGTTCCGTATTGCTTCTCCTGAAGAAGCGCAGTTGGCCGAGGTCGAGGAGGCCATGGCTTCGTTACATATTGACGACTCGCCGACGAAACCAGAAGGGTTTAGGGAGCAAGTGGTGGAACGAGAACAAACCATCACGAGGCGGCTTGCCCGATGCCGGGACTCTATCGTCCTACTTTGCGTGGACATAGAGGAAGTCTGGCCTGCGTTGCCGAATGTCTTTCTCTTCGGCGAATGGGGTGATAAAAGGGAAGATGCGTCTGGCCAAGCAGGGACGTCTGCTCTGAGAGAAACATCACAAACTGTGCCAATGGTAAGCACGATGCGACCTAGGCCTGTGCTAAAGAGGAGTGCCCCGACTGTAGCTGTGCAGACTCGGATGCGGCGACGAAACGAGCAACTTCAGAAGGAAAGAGAGTCTGAAAAGGCAGTCGAAGAAGAGCCTATCCCCGTTAGTGAGAACGATGAGGATAACGAGGATGAGAAGTTGCGGGCCGAAGAGGAAGAACGGGCTCATCGTCGTGCACTGGAAAGGGAGCCGGAGAAAGGGAAGGCCGAAGCAAGCGAGGAAGAGCCGCGAAAGAAGAAAAATATTTACTCGATCCCCGTGGAGCACGGGGTCGATATCGAGCGACTCGTCGATAAGATTCTGGAAAGTCAGCGCGACTTGGTCACGCTGAAGGAAATTTTGGCGGTATCGCCGAAGATTCGAGAAAAGTTTAAACAACGGATGACTCGTAAGAGAGTCATGACTGTTAATCTCGGCGAAGTCATTCCGCCGGAGGCTAACTAGTCCCCGCCTGGGACAAAGATGGATTGGCGAAGTGTGTCGACCGGCCATATGAAGGTCCAGATTGGACAGCAGGAGTACTCGGCACTTGTGGATGATGGAGCCGAGATGAACATCATTCGTGAGCACCATGCCATCGAAGCTGGGTTGAAGATCAACCGAGATGACTATGGGTTTTTGGTGGGAGCTAGTGGATCAACTCGATTTTGCAGAACAGCTAGTGGCGTTCTCGTCACGATCGGAAAGGTCAAGGTCCGTTCGTATTTGTACGTGTTACCTAGAGTGGAACACGAGGTGCTTCTGGGAAGGACATTCCTATGTCGATCGGAGAGCATCATCATTAACAAGCATGATGGAACCATGTTTGTAATCCTTTGTGATCCTATCTGCGGTTATTACGAAGTGGTCAAGTGTGCGAACATTGGACCCTATTGCTCGCGGAACCGGCTGAACCCGGAATCCTATAGCTTCCCGGAGTCAGAAAAGTTGAGACGGGAGAAGGAATCGTTAGGGGAGGAGTCGAATGCTCGTGAGTTCTCGCTGACCCTGCCTGATATTAGGCAGGCAATCGATTTTGCGTCGACACGTGCGGCGATTGATCCAAATGTGGTGCAAGCCTTGACGGAAATCATCATGGACACCGGAAGCGTAGGAACTATGCGCCTCGTTTACTCCCCGTCCGAAGGGAATAAGGGAGAAGATCAAGAATTACCCTCCACCCGACAGGGTCCTTTTTTAGAGGACGCAGGCTTGACACCGACGTCAAACGTAGGTACAAGAAAGTAGGCGTGAAGGCGAAGCCGGTACCTGTTCTGATCACTCAAGAGGAGGAAGTATATTATCATGAGGAGCGCGAGTGGATCAGAGAAATGAAAGAGAGAGGTGAAAAGGGGCCATGTCGATTAACCAAAGAAAGAGTGGGAAGTATGATAATTGGGGAAGAGGACCTCCTTACTAAGCAGGAAAAAAAATATATCATCGATATATTGAAGGAGGAACATCTCTCCTATGCGTTTGATGATGATGAGCGAGGAAGGCTGGATGTCGATAAAATCCCGATGATCAGAGTTCATACTGTACCACACGAACCATGGAATGTAAGAGGGTCACGTTATCCGAATCCGGAAGATCACCGTAAAGTGGTCGCGTATCTCGATGGAAAGATCCGGACAAAGGTTGCAGATTATTCTTATGGGCCGTATGCATCTCCATGGTTCTGTTTCATCAAACCGAATGGTACTCTGCGATGGATTCAGGACCTTCAGAAACTGAATTCGGTGACAGTGCGAGATGCAGGTGGACGCCCACATGCGGACCTACTGTCGGAGTCTTGTGCAGGGAGGTCTATCATCACCCTGATCGATTTATATTCCGGGTATGATCAATTTCCCATTTACACTGCGGATCGGCCCAAGATGGCGATGCATACTCCTCGCGGGTTGATCCATATGTGTGTGGCACCGCAGGGGTGGACAAATGCCATTGCCATTGTTCAGAGATATATGACGGGGCCCAAGCCGGGGTAGGGGTTTCAACCCCGGACCCCCGCCGCGGGGCTACCCGACCCCGCCCCCGCAAAAAGAACCCCGGCCCTGCCCCAAGCCCGCCCCCGGCACCTCCAGCCCCGCCCCGAGCCCCGCACCCCCCCCCCCCCCCCCCCCCCCCCCCCCCCCCCCCCCCCCCCCCCCCCCCCCC